CAAAAAGGCTAGGCGTGGCCGGTCTTATATAATTATGAACTACTGCAGACTATACTGGAAGTGTTTATTTCACTGCATAAATCACTTAGAAATCTCAAACATTTCCTAAAATAAACTATCTGATCTTTCTTCACATTTACATCCCCCCCCCCTCCAGCCTTTTGTCTTGTTTTTACAGTAGGAGATAAAATTACCCTGATGTTCCCTCCTTTCCCGTCTCGCTATTTGGTCGAACTTTAAACTGCCCTATATTATTACTGCATACTTTTCTAACACATTGGAAATCTTCTAAGGGTCTTGGTAGGATAAAAGTACACTTTACTCTTTTGGCAGGTTCCAAATCCATTAAGGAAGTATAATCAAGTAAGTTACTAAGAGAGAGAAGTAGATTTCATTTTTCTTCTTCCCAGCCTCTGTTAACTTCAGGATAAAGAGCACCTTAAGCAGAGACAGACACACACACTGCCGTATCTTAGGCAACATCTATTCATGCTCCTATCACTCATAAATTGTTTTGTCCCTCCCTAATGTTGGCAGTCCCGCTTCCAGTAGCAGACAGTATCACAGATCAACAGAATGGTGTGACAATTTTTTTTGTTTGAACTTGCTATGCATTCATTTAATCAAGGAGCCCACTAGTTAAAAGTATATGTGAAAAGGTAAACAGTTCTGCTAATTTATTCATGATTTTGCATATGACTCATAAACACCTAGGTGTTGCTTATCTTGATAGCTCCTTCTCAAAGGAAAGGCATTTTATCCCGGCCTCCTCTGTATCATTTTCAAGTTCTGTAATTTAAAGATGTAGGCGGCCAGAACTGTACATGCAGTATTTAACATGCCGATGTTTCCACAGTTTATTTTGTTAACATCTGCATAATTATTACATAGTGTCTGCATCAAGTCCTCTCTGCCAGCACTCGGCCTAGCAGCCAGGGACAAGAACAGAAGTGTGGGATTCAGGCAGGGTCGCAGCCTCACTAGAGAGTATCACATCTCCAGAGACCATAACAAGTGTCTGCTATTTCAGAGAGAACATAATTCTACAGAAAAACGAAATTAGACAAACCACACCAAATCTTTTCTGCTTTGATTATTTTGAAGTTCTTCTGTTAACTTGAACATAGCACTCAAACATAACAAGTATCTGCTATTTCAGACAGCACCTGGGGTGTAGCCAGCACCTGGGGTGTAGCCAGGATTTTTAAAGTCGGGGCCATTTTAAAAATGGTCTGTGGGGATTCAGTTTACCCAGGCAGAATAAAGTTTTAACTGTAAAAAGTGATGTTATGTGGCAATACAAGTCCTGTCTAAAATCAGAATCAAGCTTTTTATTTATGTATTTATTTATTGTTACCCCGCCCTCCCCGCGAGCGGACTCAGGGCGGCTTACGAGAGGGCACAAGCTTGAAGACATACAAACCAGTTATCCAGAACAATTTTAATACATTTGGCAATTCCCCCCCCCCCGAACTGAAAACAGGAGGTAGGAAAGGCCACCTGTTTTACGACAGCAACCCACAGCAAAGGTGAGCAGCAGAGTGGAGGAAAGAGATACTGCATTTACTGGAACACAAGGTTGGGTGGTCCCCCCCCCCCACAGGTATGGCATACCCCAAAAGGCAGGGCTCGAGGAAGAAGTTAGCATTGCAGAAGATCGGATATGCCACCGCCACTGGATATGTACGCCAAGAGTACCAGCTTGAGCTGCAGGGATACCATCTTGGACTTAGGACACTAGTAACTGGACAGAGCACTTTGGTCTTCGTATTGATGTTTTTATTGTGTTTTTATATGTTTTTACTTATGGCTAGACTAACGATCTGGCCTCTGTTAGCCACCCTGAGCCCACTGGGAAGGGCGGGATACAAGTGTAATAAATAAATAATAATAATAATAATAAATAAATAAATAAATATCTTAAATTTGCACATATTATGTCCAGTAATAGTGGTTTCTCTTTGCATAAATACAGTAGCATTTATAAATGTTTCCTCCAACCTGCCAGTCTCTTTAGTGCCTAAAATTCTTTTTGACCTTTGACCTAGCAGTCTATATATATATATAGTTGTTTATTAAACAGTGAGGTTTCCCAGTCAAGCTGTTTCTATGGTGGTTAGGTTTGCAGTATCCCAGGCAGTGCAGAGTCCAGCAGCCCCCCAAAGTCCTGGTTCTGAAGTATGTCACTCCTTGAGATGAGAAAAAAAAGGGCCCTAGTATCAGGGGCCTGAGTGGCATGGAATGAGCAAGTGGATGGAATTTTTAAAATTAAGCTTCTAAGTACCCCCATCATGTTACATCTTTCCCCTATGCGGAAACAATCGGGATCAACATACTGTTGGGCCTACATAGCTTTCCCACAGCATTCCAACTTCCTATAAAGTTTTCTGTTTATCCGCATACTATTAACAGTAGGATATATCAGTGTTATGCATTGTATCAGATATGTCATATAACATTATAATGTGAATGACAAGTAAATGCTCCCACTTGAAGAAGAAGAAGAGATTGGATTTATACCACTACCAAAAGGTGTCTCAGAGCGGCTTACAAACTCCTTTCCCTTCCCCTCCCCATAACAGACCCCCTGTGAGGTAGGTGGGGCTGAGAGAGCTCTGACAGAAACTGCTCTTTTTCAAGGACAGCTCTTATCAGAACTACGGCTTGCCCAAGGCCATCCAGCCAGGTGCAAGAGGAGGAGTGGGGAATCAAACCCGGTTCTCCCAGATTAGAGTCCACACACTTAACCACTACACCAAACTGGCTCTTGAACTGGAACTGATCCAGTGATCAAATTTCTATTTGCCTAAATCAAAACAGCTTCAGTTACAGCAAATACACACCAAACCCTAAAAGGGAAAAAATGGTTTGACTCCATGGAAACAGTTATAATTTCATGGCATTTTTCTATTACTGTCAATTATAAGATTTGGTAAATATGGTATCCCCCTCCTTAAAAAAAAAAAGACCTACCCTGACCAGCTTATATTCAGACGCCTGAATTTAATTTTTGACATGGCTGAAGGTTACCTTGATACTCTAGGAAATAATCCACTACTGATGCATTAGTATTTCAGTACATTGCACCAAAGTTGCAGTCCTACAAACCCTTACTTCAAGTCCCATTAATCATAGTGGGGCATACTTCCTGAATAATAATCTACCTGCTCCTTGGGGATGAGATTCTATCAGTGCAGAAATCATAACTAACAGACCTTTGGTCTTCACTGTGGCTTTTTGGTCTACATAACACTGTTCACTAATTCACAGCTGTAACTACCAATAAGGTGTTCTCTGGAGCAGAGCTCTGCTGTATATATGTACTTGTCAGCCACAAACAGGGACTCCGGTTTCCTAGGACCCCTGTAACATCCAGCAGAAACTAACTTCAGGGAGCCCACTCACTTGTGAAGTTAGATGGACAACCTGTTCAAAGCTACATGGCATTCTCCCATTCTTGAAGTCAATTTTATTGCAAAATAGTAGTAAGTGAGAGAATTTTTGAAGAGACTAGCCAAATATGAAACATACTGCAACCTTTCCCTGCTATGAAACCACAAATTACAAACCAGCAACACTTTTCAGAGTAACTTTAGCATTTGGACAGGTTAAATAAAAAATCAGCAAGATTATTTTTTTATCCAACAAGAAAAAGATTTATGGCAACAATTCAATTAAAAATATTATTTGCATTGTTCAGTTCCCACAAACCTAGAGATGCCTTTAAGAGAACAAAGTCATATCCAAACCAAATCCTTAATACTAATGTTTCCTTCCGTCATCATATGCATTAGCCAGCAAAACAGGTATGATCCTATCCCTTCAAAAACAACCCCTGACAACTTTAACCTCTTCCACTTGCAAACGGAAAAAGTTGCAAACCAAGACTTCAATCCGATGTAAATTCACTTGAAAGCAAGCCCCATTAAACTCAGTTAGATCAACATGCAAAGGATCGGGCTGCACCCGCCAAGCAACTAAAAGCCCACTCCTCTACTACTCAAACGCAGTATCATTTTAACTCTCGCCTTCCATCCTGCACATAAAGCCCCATAACTGAAACTTTAGGAAGTTTCGTTTCCTCGAGGTTTCAAGGTTGTTGGGTTTTTTGTTTTGGGTCCCAATGCGATTTTAACACTGAAAGGTCATCCTCCAGGAACACGGACATTGCCCCTGGGCTGGAAGTTGAGCCCCTCCCCTTCTATTCCCCCAACCTTTGCCCAAGCATCTCCCAAGCCCTCGAATTCCGGGTTTCCAAGCCAACCGCCCGGCAAGGCCTTCGCCTGGAAAGGCCAAGTCGCTCCATTCAAACTTTCTCTCTCTCTCTCTCTCTCTCTTTACTTGAGCTTGCTCGGCGTCGGGCCCTTCCCCTCCGCCGCTGAGTGCGGGGAAAACAAGGCGGCGATAAGGAGGACAAAGCCCCTGTAGGAGAAGTCGGGGAATTTCGGACAGGCCTGCGAACAGTTGGAGCCAGGAGCCCGCACCCTCCTGGCCACCCAGTGCAGAGACAGACCCCGGGCCGGGAGTGGGGAGGAGGAAGCAGATGCCCACGGAGCTATTTCTAAGTGGAAGGGGTCTCTTTAGCGCGGGGGGGGGGGTAGATGGCCCCCACAAGGAGGGGAAAGAGGTTGCAGACTGCAAAGAGGCCTAGTGAGAGGGAGGACAGAGAGGCGCAGTTCATACCGGAAGGGGTGAGGAGGCGGGGGGGGGGCGAACGCGGGAGAACAGCTGAAGGCGGCCTCCCTCACCCAAAGAGATAGGCACGGGCAACAGCTGCTGTTCGGAGGATGCGGTTCCTCCCCTCCCTCTTCGGAGGGCTAGGCAGGTTTCGAGGCTGCTTAAGGAAGGGGGGGTGGTGGAGAAAGTTTAAGCACCCAGGGTAATGGGGGAGGGGTAGATGGATGGGGGGGGGAGGGTGGTCGATGGGCACCGTGCCTACAGAAGGGGGCACACGGGAGTGGAGGGGTCTTTTGCGGGGGCCGGGGCGACGTGGCTCTCACCTGTGCAAAGAGAAGAGGGGAGATCTCGCTCAGTGGAGGGGCTCTGCTCCCCTAGCCCTCCAAAGCAGCACTAGCGGCAGCCATTCATTGTCAGCCTAGGCAGGCTCAGCAGAGAGCCGAGCTGCTGGATGCAGCAGAGGCAGCCTGCGAGCCAATGCAACGCGATGCGATTCACAGCCAAGCCGTCATCTCGGTGCACTCGAAGTCCCGGCTAGCTGAGCTCCGAGCCAGCTGTAGCCACCTCCCCCACCCTCCTGCTCCAGTTTGAATCTCTCCTGTCTTTCCCTTAGAGCTGGGAAATGTTTGCGTTTGAACTTCCTAGCCTCACTTCTTCTTTGAGGCGGAAACAAATGTCCGCCTCGGGGAAGAAGGCCCAGGTAACAGTGCCATCCTAAGCATGTTTACGCAGAAGTAAGTCCCAATGTGCAATGGAACTTACTCCCTACTAAAAAACTCTACGTCTACATTTATATAATTATTTAATTTATATCCCACCTTTCTCCCCAGTGGGGGCAAAGTGGCTTGCCTCGTTCTCTCCTCGGTTTCATCCTCACGACAACCCTGTGAGGCAGGTTAGACTGAGGGTGTGTGACTGGCCCAAGATCACCCACCCAGCAAGCTTCCATGGCAGAGTGGGGATTCAGACCTGTTTCCCAGATCCTAGACCAACATTTTAACTACTACACCATGCTGATCTGGAGTACAACAAGATGCAGTTAAATAGGTACACACATTTCAGAAGTTTTCACAGTTTAGATCTTTCCATTTTTCTTTACCAATGAATGAAATAAAATTGAGTGACCCCTCCTGTCCTGTTTGCCCAGCATGAAAACTTGGTACAGTGGGGTGAATCACATAGACATGTCCCATAAATCTAAGAGCAATAAATTCAGTAAATCATGACAAAACAAATGGCTTTTAGAAGTAGTCAAACCCACAAGAGTTTTAATTAAATAAACAGCTGGCAAGAAAGGTGCTGGAGAAGACTCTTGAGAGTCCCTTGGACTGCAAGAAGATCAAATCAGTCAATCCTAAAAGAAATCAACCCTGACTGTTCCCTGGAAGGCCAGATACTGAAACTGAAGCTCAAATACTTTGGCCACCAAATGAGAAGGGAGCACTCCCTGGAGAAGACCCTGATGCTGGGAAAGATTGAAGGTCAAAGAAGACGGGGACGGCAAAGGATGAGATGGTTAGACAGTGTCATCGATGCAACGAACATGAAATTGAGCCAACTTCAGAGGACGGCGGAAGACAGGAGGGCCTGGTGGGAGCTGGTCCATGGGGTCGCGAAGAGTCGGACTCGACTGTGCGACTGAACAACAACAAGAAGAAGAAAGCAATAAATTCTGGGCTTGAGCCTTGGGAAGGAAAGAATGTTTTCAGGCTACTTAGCAATGTCCTATACTGGGGTGTCAATGAAATGACAGACAAAAACTAAATGGCAAAAATAAACTGAAATATATATATTTTTAATACTCATCATTTTCTGATCCTCAATACTGAATATTTAAAATGGGCTATTCTGGTCTCTTTTTTATCCTGAACTTACAGGCTCAGAAACTTAGGTGAAGGTCAGGTGACCAAATTCAGTGTTACTGGTATGTTCAAATCCCACTCCTACATTTATTTGTGTTGATGTCAGACCTACTGATTTCAGTACAATTTAGCTCCAAGTAAGAACAGGATTGCCCAGGCTAGCCCGATCCTGTCAGATCTTGGCTGCTAAACAGGGTCTGCCCAGATTAGTATTTGGATGGGAGACCACCAAGGACATCCAAGGTTGCTATGCAGAGACAGGCAATGACATACCACCTCTGAAAATCTCTTGCCTTGAAAACCTTAGAGGGTTGCCATAGGTCGGCTGTGACTTGACAGTACCAATAACAGGAATTGAATATTTGCTAGACTTGGGTTGCCAAAACAAGACAAGAAACAGACCAACTGTTAGGGGGCAGTCCCACCAAAGCAGAGTTCTGTTCATTGATTTCCATGGGAAAATGAAGCATATTCCTGATTCCCATCCACTTAGGATATGGGGTTTAAAAGTTCTTAGATTTGGTTGATTCACAGAGTTTATTTCAACCATAAGTACAAATGTTTGGAAGGATTTGAACAAGTAGGCATGTTAGATCGCCACTAACAAAGATCCGGAGAGTGATTTCAACAAAGTGAACAGCTTTATTGTAGATACGAACAAGCACTTGCAATAAGTCATAACCAGAATAGTTTTACATTGGGAGCTAGGCTTCTTTTAAACGTTCCCGGGCTAACGTACTTGCGGATAACAACCAATGATGTTGTGTAGATAAAGTCCAATGAGCATTCTTCCCTTGCAGGGAATTAGTCCCGTTCTGATTGGTCTGTTGAGGGCTGACCAATGATAAGTTAGCTCGGAGGAGCCTTCCTTGTCTTGAGCTTAACATTGAAAGTGAATGTGGCGATTCACATATGTTTTTTCCAAAGAAACCACAAGGCAGATGGAAAATTTTACCGAAATGCAGCTGTTAGATACAAGACTCAGGCAGCAGGTGAACAGTGATTAACAGCTTTATTGAACACGAAGTCAGAAGAACCAGAACGAGACAAACTATGGAGCAACAGGCTCCTTTTTAAACAGTCTGGGCTTGGCAAGCTACGCCCAATTGTCAGCTAAGGTCCAATCACATACAGTACATAAAGACCAATCATTTCTCTTCCCTCCAGAACTTCCTTTGTTCTGATAGGTCGTTTTACAATACCATGTTAGATTCAAGCTCAATACATTCATTCCATTATAATACATTACATTACATACACAACAGCAGCATAATGTCTACCCTTCCTTCCCATCTCTTGTTCCAGCCTCACAACTGCCCATTTTTATGAGAGCAACTGTAAGATCGGGCCACCACTGTTAGAAACTGCTGGTATATAGTCTCTGGTCTCATAACCAGCTGAAATGAAGCTGGCATATATTAACTGCATTTGCTCATATTTGTGTTTTTGTCTGATAAGATTCCCCCTCCCCCAATATGATGCAAGCTTATTGGAGCATTAGACCTTTAATATTACTTTGCAAAGCACCATAAACATTAATGATACTATATACAATAATAATGACAACTAACATAGGTTCAAAAGGAAACGAGACTTTGTGGCTTGGGAGACATAGGTGACTTCCTTTTCTGCTACATTTATAGGATTCTGTACTACTGCCTGAGCTTCTTATGTTATGTATCCCTGGCCTGTAGCAAGAAACAGGGGTGGTGGCAGGGAATTAAGATTGCCATCCTCCAGGTCTTGTGGAATTATGACTGCTCTCCAGATAACAGAGATCAGTTCCTCTGGAGAGAATGGCTGTTTTGGTGAGCGGACTCTGTGGCATTACATTCTGCTGAGGTCCCTCCCCTCCCCAAACCATACTCTTCTCCAACTCTACCCCCAAATCTCCAGGAATTTCCCAACCTGGAGTTGGCAACTCTATATGGGCTTAGGGGTAGACTTCAAAGGCCACCAGTGAGTCACTGCACTAGGATCCCTTAAGGTTGCCAACTGACCAGATAGAAATGGCTCCACCTGTTTTTATGTGCTCAGTGCCATCAAGTCGCTTCCAACTTAGGTCAGCCCTATGAATTAATGTCAACCAAAACATCGTAAACAGCCTTGCAAACTGTGTGCTGTGGCTTCCTTGACTGAGTCAATCCATCTCATGTTGGGTCTTCCTCTTTTCCTGCTGCCTTCAAACTTTCCTAGCATTATGGTCTTTTCCAGTGACTCCTGTCTTCTCATAATGCGAGCGAAGTACGATAGCATCAGTTTACCTACTTTTGTGCTTTTATTGAGTACTGTACAATTTAATCTACAGGAATCAACCAGTGTGGAGCTTGGTCATATTTATTTACTTATTTATAATTTCAATTTATGAATCATTTTATCCCTGAGTAACCAGGGCTCTGAGCCATGAACAACAGTGATAAAATACATTGAAATAAACAATTAAAAAGTTTAAGTAAAAACAATTCATTGATGGCGTTATTGGATTCTAGACTGTGTCACTGCTTCCTAAATGAGGTAAGGGGAAACATAGCTGGAAAAGGGGAGGAAGGGGAGAGGAAGAGGGAATGCCAACCAAAATGGGACCTGTTGCTGTCCTCAACCTTGCTGACTGCAAATCGTGATCTCAGTATAAGCTTTCCTGTGCATGTACAGTTCTTCAGATACATTGAAACAAGACTTCCTCAGCCATTACATATAGGGAGAGAGAGGGTAGGGTGGGGGGGTTAGTTGCCAGTTACCTATATGTAATGGCTGTGGAAGTCTTGTTTCAATGTATCTGAAGAAGTGTGCATGCACCGGAAAGCTTATACCCAGAATTAAACTTTGTTGGCCTTAAAGGTGCCACTGAACTCAAACTTTGTTCTGTTGCTTCAGACCAACATGGCTACCCACTTGACTCTATCTGCAAATCATGTAATACTAGATACACTTACTTGGGAGTAAGTCCTACTGAACACAGCAGGACATGTAGGAAAGTAAAGACACACAGGCTCAAGTTGTAAAGGTACAGGTGCCCTCTGCATTTGGGTGCTGCAGTTGATAGACTTTGTGGGGTTAAAGTAGGACTTATGAGTTGCAGAGTAATATCTTCTTTGAACTTAAGATTTCATATCTTATTAGGATGTGGAGGCATGCTGCTGGGTTCCCCTGAGATATTTCCCACTTTACTCATTGTCTTATTCTGAACAAGTGGTTTTATTTAATGTTTTAGTATGAGTGCAAAGTGGGTACTTGGCCCAAGCATGGGGGTGGGGACATGAAGAAAGTAGTAGTTTTATCTGCACCCATACTGCCATGATATATTTATGTCATTTCAGAAATAAAATTGTATGCATGGGCTGAGATCAGGTGTGTACAGGGCCTGGAGAAATTGCACTTAGACACTAGGTATACCTTTATGGAATTAATGTGAACAGAATTGAAAACGATTCCAAAATGTTCAAAATTCCTGAAAACTATGTAGGCAACCAATCAGTCCTGCTGTGCAAACTTCTTTAGGTCCAGAAATAGACAAGTTTTGGAGTTACTCTGAACGCTTTCAGACT